TACCCCCTTAGAAGTTGAATTTTGAAAAATCCTTTCTTAGTGCGCCCCTACATTACTTAAGAAACCTCTGTACAAAATTTCAAGTCCCTAGACCCAGCGGTTTGCTCTAAGCGTTGATGAATGATTGGGGGCGGTCTCTTACATGTATATAGAACATAGGAACCAATTTATATATATATATATATATAAGCAGATAATGTTTCTGCGACTAACAGGGTTATGGGACCCTAGTACTCAAAAACCAATTCCTGTATTCCTTACACGGTATTCGTTTGTGAATGAACTATTGAACTGTATTTCATTGATATCATTGTAATCAACTGCTAATATTTATGAATGGAAACGAAACCAACTGTGACTGTTTTACTACAAAAAGTTTTTTTACTACGGCGGTTTTACTATAAAATCAGTTTGAAGGTATCAGGACTCCAGGAACGAGTGGTCACAGTTAATAGCATCCCGACTAGAAATACGGCGGTTCTTCGTGCACAATTGTATACGTCATTGTAAAACATCTGGTCTATCTGATCGATATTTGCAGGGCCGTGGCAAAGAGGGAGGTGGCTAGAGGTGCATACGCCCCGGGCGCGATACCTGGGAAGGCGCAAAAATGAAAAATTTGCAATTTAATTGTTATAAGTAGGACTCGGAAGTTGATGAGCTTAAAAACATTAAAAAATGACCGAAAAAAATCAAATATAACATAAAAATGACAAAAAATGTCATTAAAAAATTACCTAAAAAAATTAAAAATATTTGTTTTAAATTAATAAAAATACATTTTTTTAAATATTTTACTCTATTTTACCGTTACATTCAGGACCGTATTTAGCACCAATTTAACACCAGGAGGCAACAATAAAAATCGATTCATTATAACAAATACAAATTTCTGCGGGTTGAAAAAGATCTTTCTGAAGAACAATTCATTGCTGTTGTACACAAAAACATTCTAAGTGCAATGTCAATACAAGGATAGATATTTATAAGCAGTAAATCTTTGGATCTGTCGACAGTACTCGACCATTACCGAGTATGTGTGTGTGTGTCGTGATGCCGTGATTGGAGATATATTTATTTTTTTTAAGACACGCTTTTTATTTTGAAAAGAAGTTTTACTTCAAAAATATTAGATCATTAAATATTTAAAATATAAAAAATTAGCCGCCAGAACAACAGCACCCTGCTGTAGCTCCCTCTTAAATTCGGTCCTGGTCATATATTCAATAAATTTATTAAAACTTGCAAATGTCCTTAAAATATGAAATTAAAAAATGACAAATATTTGTTTTATAAATTGATCAAAGCTTAAAAATTACTCAAAAATCAAAATAATTATTATACGATCAGAGCGTATTTGATTTTACCAAAAGTAAATAAACGACGATTATTTGTTCATAAATATTTACATTTAGAAAAATTTCTCTCCACGTCCACTGAAGTGATTGGGACATACAGACGAGCACTAACAAACGTTTTAATTTTCATAATTTCGAAAATATTACGAAAAAAATAACAAAATTTAGATATGAGGACGCTACACGAAAAGCGAAACGTACACAACAGCCGAGAAATCGCGCTGAGATGTTTTCGAGATTCACAAGCACGCGACGTTTAAGCCATCCCGACAACTCGCAGTCAGCGATGGTCAACGATTGTATTCAGTCGGGAACGATATTCATTATTTTTTGAACCTTCACTTATGACAGTTCGGCTAATAGATATAATATCATCTAAACGTACCTGCTCGATTTGTATTTATCGCGTTATATATATTTACTAAATATTACTTAATAAATAATAATAACTCAAGTCCCAATTAAATTAATATTACCTAAATATGTAAATATTAGTTATCTGAGATAATAGATATCTAGCAGGTAAATGTGTTGCGTATATCTTACATATAATATTGTGTAATATAATATGTGTCTATACCACATAACATTTTTATAGAATTGTTTTTGCTATAATTAATAGTTAATAGCAGTATTTAATTAAAGTTGGTACTTGAGGTATTATTATTATATTGTACGCATTTAATTCGTTTGCTATTCGTGTCAAATTGCATATTGTATATAGGTACGTAATATCACAATTTTACTGAAATTTTCCTCGAAACTTTCATGACTATTATACCATTCTTTTCATACAGTGTTCGCTTACAGAAATAATAAAATGTATTCCACACGAATGTTTTTGATGGTGATTTTAAAAGTATTCGTTTCATAAAGTGCCCATAAATTAAATTTTTACTATTTACTATCTTTATGTACTTAATAATTAATCTACTATTTTTTTATTATACTTATACAATAAATAAATTCTCACGATCTAAACCGTTTACAAGCTATACCGCTCCCTGAAAAAAAAATGTAAATTATACTTAAATTTTAATTAGCGTGAAATTCTCCTCTTATTTAGATGAGATCAATGCAATCCTGGGAATATAAGCGGACAATTATCTACGATGTGCCCGATGCGAAATTCTTAACTCTAAACTCTAAATTCTAGTTTTCTTCACAATAAGCATGTGTTAACATATTTCACGCCTGTATTTGACATAACGATTGCCCGAAATACGCTCTGCCGATCCAGCACCACTTTTTCGAAGTCAGTCTCTGGACACAAGATTAAAGGGGCATCGGAATCGATCACTTTTGGGGATAAATCTAAAATAAATGGTTTATAAAATTGATGTTTGTATTATTTTACATGACCGTTTAAAATACGTAGATAGTAAACCTATGCAGTTATAATTTTAATTAGTAAAATAGTTAAATCCATTTTGTACTGCAAATAGGGCCATATTTAATAGGTAGTTGTGGGATCGTTGTTGTCCCTGAAATATTGCAGAAGACAATAACATTTTTACGGAGATACTAAGTAAAAACAAATCAATTTTTCGCATTCTAAACGGAAAAAATCAATTATGAATAGAGTTCGGAACTTAATGCACTTAAAAAGTACTAAATATGCATGTCCTTATGCGCTTAAAAAAAGTACAAATATGCTTTAAAAATATGTACTTAATTTTTTTTTAACACAAACATTTTCATAAATATAGATATTCTACTAAATATACTTGTAAATAATAACAGTAAATGTGTTATTAGTAGGACTCGGATTTTAAAGCATAATAAACAACAAAAAAAGCACAAAATTGTTTAAAAAAAAAGCAAAAAAAAAAAGCATGACAAAAAATTAACATAAATTAGTTATAATTTTAGAAAACTGAATAAAAAAAATAAAAATTAATTTAAATTAAAAAAATAATTTACTACCGTGTATTTGACAAGATTTTCAGAAGTGAAACTGACTCTACTATCTGACAGGATGTTTTTATACATAGAAATTGAATGCTCTATATCCACCGAAGTAAACGATGCATACTTCGATATCGATGTTATACGATTAGTGAGTACTGAGAGTAGTTTCTACAGGCTATATGCAATAACCGATAAGCTATCGACTTCTAAGCTGTGTCTGTAGATCGATAATCTATACCAGGGGTTCCCAACCCGTGGTACGCGTACCACTAGTGGTATACGGAAGACTCGTAGGTGGTACGTGAAGAAATGATTTGGTATAATTATTATTATTACTATTTTCATTCAATATTATTTGGTTTAGTTTATTTGCTATTATCTAATTTTATAAATATCGATGAAATTGGGTTTGTAATCGTAGCAATTTATTTTTATTATTATTTATTCAACCTGATATTGATGTTCTTGTACAAAATAAACAAAAACAAATATCACATTAAATTTTAAAAATATAATTGTAATTTAAATATTAAGATTTAACTAAATATTGAGATTTATTACTTTTATACATTTAAAATAATAAAAAATTATAAAAATTAATGAATAATAAAAATATACTTTAAAAAATTGTTGGCTCCTAATTAAGCTTTAGAATTAAGGTGGTACGTGTATTGATTATAAAAGTGTCTGATGGTACTCGACGATAAAAAGGTTAAGAACCCCTGATCTATACGTTTAAGTTCGTTCCACATTAATGGTACAGTCACGGTCCGGCGATGGGTAAAATATAATATCTATATTTATATTAATTTTATAATTATTATTGTGGATTTTCACATTTCTTATAAATTATATAAAGTTTTTTTTCATTACTATAGCATAACAAACAAGTTTTTTTTCATTACTATAGCATAACAAACAAATAAAAATTCCACAGCTAGAATAACTGAAAAAAACAATAAAAAAAGTAAAAAAAGCATTTATACTAAAAAAGCAAAAAAAAAAAACAAAAATAAATTCGTTTATTTTGAATCAGATTAACGAGAAACGAATTAATGTATAAAAATTAGATTTTTATCTTAAATATATAAAAGAAGCATTTGCTTTAAAATCCGAGTCCTAGTTAATAGTATATAAGCTAAAGCTAAGCTAAACATAATTTCTAGGTATAAATATATAAGATAAAATAAACTAAAATAAATAGCTTGAAATTTGAAATTTTCTTTCAAAATGTTTCCATTAAATTACATATCTATCTGTAAAGCATAAATAAAAATTAGAAAAAACGCTTTGTCGCTGCTATCAGCTCTTATAAAGGATAATAAGGATGCCTTAACAGCTGTATAATGAAAATGTACTATTGGGAATAATTACTGTATGAATAAAATGAAATAAAAAAAAATAATATTAAACTTTAAATAGACTGTATAATTGAATAACCATGATAATAATAGTAATAATAATAATAATAATATATAAATATAAATAAATAATATACGGCCCACACGGCACGCAACACAAAATAATTTAAATAAAATACGTGGCCCACATGGCGCGCACAAAATAATAATTCAATTTATAATAATAATTTGCCTATGACGGCACACCGCAGTGTATGAATAAAATGTATAATACAATGATATCAATAATAATGAAAATAATAGCCTTTGGTGGCTGGGCCCGTCGGCCTTTACACAACGATGAACACAAATATGGTCGACCAATACTCACTTGTGACTATGTTGAAATGGCTGATTCCATCCACGCGACCGTACCAACCCTGTGATTAGACAATTGCCTATGACGGCATACCGCTGTGTATAAATGAAAATAAATCACAGAATTGGTACGTACGACCACTTAAGCAGTCACCAACGAAAAAACTGCAACGATCCACAGCCCTGGACGATGACACAATGAATGAAAACCACGTTATTCACAAAACGAAAATGACACTACTCAAAAAACGTGGTTTGAATGAAAATGGCTGCGGACGTACGGACTTGACAAAAATGAAATTAGATGTGCACACCACGAAGACACAAAAACGAGGCGAGATGGAGCCGACGACATTCACCACGAAGGCTAAGGCCGCTGAACACCACAAAATGAAGATAAATGTCTCAGTGCCACCACACTAAACCAAAAAACACGAGAACTTATGAAACTTTGTGGAACTGAGAACATGACTTTTACTTTTACAAAAACATAACCGAAAAATTTCGAAAACGTGGAAATAACGACACTTTCATGCGATGATAACAGCGCGATTGCGTACACGGCCGGTCGCACACGGAGGCTTATCACTGCCGCCGACGAGGGTTGCGGATACGCAACGCACCGCTACGCATACGAAAATGATAACATAAAATGACAACCAAATGAATTGATACATCATAAACACGCTTAGAACCTAATTCATAAGTAAAAAATACGTTTTGTTTTTATATATTGTTTTTTTTTATATAGTCGATGTGAATGAAATTTGAAATGTTTATCTTACAGAAATGAAAATACCTTGGAATATCTTCGTGTTTTAAGGGATATTGCTCATATAAACTAAAAGATTTGAATGAACTTCAGAACACTACTTAGGATATAACTGACAATGATAATAAAGATTTCATGACGGAATATAAATGTTTTGGGTGTATCTCACTAATATTTTACGTTTTAATTAATTCATTAAATTAATTTCTAATTACGTGTACAATATAATATGCTTTCTTTATCTTTATTGCATTAAATTGTGTACGCACTTTATGATAAAAAATAAGTAAAGTCGTTGGTAATAGGCGATGCTCAATTTTGTTTGTTTTTATCATATTGCCTTTTCCACGTTTGGCATTATACATAATACCATTGTTTATAAATAGTATAGATAGCTCACTGCAATACAAAATATGCTGCGTAACTTTTGCCGATAGAGGGCCGTAGATTGTTTATTATATTTATTTGATATTTTATATATATATATTTGTTGCTGCTGTAGGGCCAACACTTATTATTATTATTATTTTATTATTTGGTGTGTGCCGTGTGGGCCACACATTATTTATATTATTATTAGTGTGCGCCGTGTGGGCCATACATTATTTATATTATTTATTTTGTTTTTTATTATAATTTCTTATACCACATATTTGGTCTTTATTATTTATTATTTTTTTTTGATTCCTGTCGTGAAGGCACCTTTATTTATTTTTATATAAGCGCTGAGCGCGACATTGCTATTAAAATA